TAATTTTTTCTTAAGAATAATTATAGAAGTAATTTGATTTATAGTGCTACTGTATTAGTTAAGTGTCCTGTTGCTATGAGAAAATATCTTGACAAAAGCAACTAAGGAAGGAAGGAAGGAAGGAAGGAAGGAAGGAAGGAAGGAAGGAAGGAAGGAAGGAAGGGTTTATTTGTCTCAGAGCTCCAGGGTAAAGCACACCATGGTAGAGAAGCCATGGTGGCAGGAGTTTGAGGTAGCTGGTCACACTATATCACTTTCATCATTTTATTATCATTTTATTCAGTCCAGGACCCCAGCCCACTGAATGGTGCCACCCATAGTTCAGGTGAGTCTTCCTACCTCAGTTAGCCTAATCTAAGTGATACCTCACAAGCATGCCCAGAGACTTGTTTCCTAGGAGATTCTAGATCCTGTCATGTTGGCAAAATGAATCATTACAGTTATCTTAGGAGTCAGGTTGTATGAATAGTAGTATACATAAAAAATACTAAATGTAGAGGTTCTGGTGCAGATTTATTAATAGATCTGCACCAGATCTGCACCAGTCTGGTGCAGACTATTAATAACAACTCTTAAAGGAGCAAATTTTCATTATAACTACATATTCTCAATACTCTATTCTCAGGTATAAACCACCTTAGAACTTTTTGACATAAAACATGTGTTTATACCATTGGATTACTTTTATTTCTGCTCCTGTAGTTAATATAGTCAAATATACCTCAAGGACTGCTTCTTGTTCGAGAGGCAACCCTACTTTGTCAAGATTTTGAATTCTAGTATGGAAGCTCAGATGAAAAGATGCTTTGGGTAGCCAGCTTAGCCATCTGTGCTTCTCTGATCACTGAGGAAAAGGACTTTTATTGCTGTAGGCTCATGACTCCAATGTTTCCAGCACTATAGTAGTAAAACCAATAATTCCAAGATTACTGTATAGGACTTGACTAAATGGAAAAGGCCAACCAAAGAGGTATAAATAAATTAATAATAATGAATAAACTGAATATTTTATTTTTATTTTATGTGTATGAATGTATTCCCTGTAGGTATGTAAGTGCATCCATGCTATGCAACACATGTGGAGGTCAGAAGAGGGCAATGGATCCTCTGGAACTAGAGTTATGGACAGTTGATAGACACCTTGTGGCAGCTGGGAACTGAACCCAGGTCCTCTGCAAGAGCAGCCTGTGTTCTTAACCACTGAGCCATCTCTCCAGTCCCTTAACTAACTTCTTTCGAATAAAAAATGACTTAACTTGGGGCAACTAAAGAGAGTGTCTGGGTTACCTCAAATCCTCACTTATCATTGGTACTATTGCATACTTGCATGCTGTCTTTTGTAGGACAGGTTTCCATTCTGTAGTTCTTCATAATTCCCATGACTGTAAGGTTGTACAACAATGTAAAGTGTATCACAATATGAAAGTAATCACTAGTGATTTTGATCACTTCAAAACATAATTTCCCAAGGCTATACTCCAAATCCACAAAAAGTGTTACCCTTGACAAGAAAGGAAAGGAAGGGAATGGAACTGGTGCTCAAAGCCTTTAGTTTTACATGCAGTGGCCTTTTTAAAGAATGTGTTTGCATTGTAGTAGATCACTTCCAAAGATGGCTATAACACTCTCTCCCATGATGCTTGAAGCCCTTTGCTACGGGATGTTGCTATTCATCTCCTAACTTGGTAGAGTCAGTTGCCCAGCCTCTTGAATCTGAGCTTGGTTAATGACCTGCTTGAGCCATAGAACATTGTAGACTGCCAAGGCAAGGAGTTCCTGATCCTAGCCTTAAAACCTCCTGTAGCTTTTGCTTCTAATACCTTATAATCCTAAGGTGCCACATAAATAAGTTCAGTTTCCCCGCTGGAAAGATCAGACAGAAAGTTTCTGGAAGCCACAAGTTGAGGAGAGAGAAGTCATAGTATTCGACTCATTAGCCCATTTATACCTGGCACCAGATATGAATGAGGCTATCTTGGATTACTCAGCCTAAATTTCAGCTGAATGAACAATCATGGCAAGATGACCTGGACCAGTTGAACCTTGCCTCACCAACCACAGAATCATGAAGGAATAAAATGATTGTTACTTTAAGCCACTGAGTTGTAAGCTGGTTTGTTACGGAGCCATTGATTATTGATATATTATTTGTGCTATTCAAAATTAGTTTAGAAAGTAAATAAACTCAGACACAGGCATGGTGGCTTATACCTATAATTGTGGCAATTAGGAGGCTGAGGCAGGAGGATTGCCATGAGTTTGAAACTATCTTGGGCTGCAGCAGGAAACCCTGTCTCAAAGAAACAAACCCACCCACATATAAACCTCTTTAACAAGGAACCTCTGTGCTTTCCTACCTTCCATCCCATCCCTGTAATGTCTCTATTCATTCAGCTGATTATACAATATCTAACAATGCAATGCAAAATTGGCGCAAATCAATGCAAAATCAGGGTGAAGTGATTATAATGTGAAATTGCAAATCTTTTAAAATAGGAAATCATGGAGTTGATGAAGGTAATGTTAGCAGAGCCCTTGAATCATGGGCAGCTCCTCTGACAAATGAGAATCTGCAGCTGGAATAGTTAACATTGGGAAGAAGAAATCCACATGAATGATAGCACAATGAGTGCTTCAAAAGGGAATGATTTGAATGTCAAAATTTAAGAGAGGCTCTTGGGAAATTGATGAAGCCCTCCAATATTTTTGAAATAATGACACTCTATGATTTGCCCACAAAAGTCAAATGTAAAAGGACATGATATCTTGATACCATATAATTTTGTTAGAAAATTAGGCTTCTGAAAATCAACACCAGATTCGTCTTTTGTTCTAATATTTAACACATTATTGTCCAGCTAAAAATTATTAACTACAAGGTAAATTCATTTTGTAATTTTTTCAATTTTTTAAAAGGTAAAATCCCCCCAAGACCAACACAAACTCCAACAAACAAAAACCCAGCATAGAACTGTGGAAATGGGCAGCAGGCCCCAATCTTAGCCAAAGAACTATTGGGCAGCTGATTACTGTCAGATGAGGAAGAGCCGATCTTTAAGGGAGTGACTTTACATAGGCTGACTAGACCCCAGTGGATGAACGTGCACTGAGCGACATCTGGGGACACTCAACTTGACTGGATAAACTTTAATGTAAATGACAGAATGCATGAAATCCAGTTGGGGGGCAGGGAGGTTATGGGAAGGTGCCTGTGGGAAAGGGGGTATAAAGATTATTGGGATGTTTTATTTGAATATACAAAAATTCAAAAAGAGCCAGGTGTGGTGGCACATGCCTTTAATCCCAGCACTCAGGAGGCAGAGGCAGGCTCATCTCTGTGAGTTCAAGGCCAGCCTGTTCTACATAGTGTGTTCCAAGACAGCTGGGGCTACAGACAGACCCTGCCTCAAAAAGACAAAAAAAAAAAAAAAACAGAAAATCCCAACCAAATCTTCTTTTTGATTCTCATAATCCCTTTTTCTAAAAGTTCCAGTTTAAGTGAGTTTGGTGGGGGCTGCTAATTATCTGAGGAAACTGGGGGCCTCAATGTCTTTAATTCATCTTCACAATGAGCATATCTGCTCACTGAGGGCAGGGGTCCTGGCTCAGGCTTCGTGAGTAACTCTCAAATACTGTGTACAGCAGAAGATAAGAAAATCAATGAATATGATGTCAAAAAACCTATTGTTTGTTTGGTATATGCAGATTATTGCCATTAAGAATAGCATTATTACAGGGGCTAGATAGATGGCTCAGTGGTTAAGAGCACTGGCTGCTCTTGCAGAGGACCCACGTTCAGTTCCCAGCACCTACATAGCAAGTAACAACCATCAGTAACTCCAGTTCCAGGGGATCCAACACCCTCTCTGACCTCTGAGGGTACTGTTTACACAGGTGCACTTACATACATGCAGGCAAAACACTCATTTACATAAGATAAAATTAAAAAACAAAAAGAACAGCCTTATCCCATGATCAGTCTACCCACGATGAGCTGACATTTGTTCTCATAATTGCTCATAGCAAGCCTGTTACAAACTTCCTGCCAAACACACTTTCAAAATCTGAATATATTTAAAACCAATTCGAGCATGTAAAGTCATTTTAGGAAGTCCTGCATCCCAAGGACCAGACTGAGGAGAGCCACATCTGAGATCAGGTGTACCACTTCACTAAGCAGGAATTTGGAAATGTCAAGAATCAGAAGCACTCCAACTCAACCTGGCTGGCAGTCACACTTCCAGAGCCTAGTCAATAAATGCCTTGCAGGAAAGGGGATTTGAGAAATGCTCAGCATAAATTCAAAATTAGTTGAGACAAATCAGTACTTTATCGTCTTAAAGAGACACTTGGAGATGTTCTTTTTTTCAATCTTTTCAAAAATAAAACACTATGTTTAAAAAAAAAAAAAAAAATGAGTCTTCTTGGCCAGTTCCAGGCCAGCTGTGGCTACAGGGAGACCCTGTCTCAAACACAAACAAACAAGACATTCACTCTAACGTTATCCACCTCTTATGTTCTTACATAAGAGTCCACAGTATGTAACAGATGTAACAGCACTTGCTTTAACATCCCTGAAGTCCAAGCTTTTTCAAGTTGGATTACATCCCTGATTGCAAGAATAGAAAGAACTGTGCTGTTTTCCTTATCAGTATCAGCTTTATTTCCACTCCTTTGCAAATGAGAAACTAACAACACAAACTTCACCACACAGACTCTCAATTCCACCCCTCCCAGGATGACACCCAGTGTTCTGCAACCTATCAGTCAGCTCTGGGGCAAATGCAAACAATACTTTCCGTTACAATAACTTGTATCCAGGAAAAAAAAAAAAAAAAAAAAAAAAAAAAAAAGCTCTGTAGCATAGCAGCCAGAGAAAAGTTTACTAGCTCTAGCCAATCAGAGCCTGTGGAGTTCGGCCAAGTTAACATGTTTTCCTCCGCCTCTAAATGAAGTCATGACTGAAATATGGCATTGAACTTGTTTTAAGAAGGGGAAAGGGGAGTAGGAAAGAAAAGCTGAACCTGCAGCAAAGAGCTGGGGGTTGTGGAGAACGTGGTTAGGAAGGGCAAGCATGTCTCTGAAGCCTGAGTGGTTCTCAGTTCTGTAGCCTTCGCCTCCCACTGGGTGGAGTAAGACCTTTAAGAGCAGCTGGAATGCAGTTCCCTGATCAGCTTAGCCAGTTGTACAGTCTCAACCTCTGCTAGTCCTAGAGAGCAGGGCCCAGGGCTCAGACCAGCAGACCTCCCTCTGCACCTTCACCCCTTCTTTCCTGAGCAAGAAGCTTCCAGAGAAGTAGGTTCCCACTGTCCAGCCATGGGAGAGGACGCTGTACAAGCAGAAAAGTTCCAGCACCCGAGTGCTGACATGCGCCAGGAGAAGCCATCCAGCCCCAGCCCGATGCCCTCCTCCACACCAAGCCCCAGCCTGAACCTGGGGTCCACAGACGAGGCCATCCGGGACAACTCGCAGGTGAATGCGGTCACTGTGCACACGCTCCTGGACAAGTTAGTGAACATGCTGGACGCTGTGAGGGAGAACCAGCACAATATGGAGCAGAGGCAAATCAGCCTAGAGGGTTCGGTGAAGGGCATCCAGAACGACCTCACCAAGCTCTCCAAGTATCAGGCGTCCACTAGCAGCACTGTGAGCAAGCTGTTGGAGAAGTCTCGCAAGGTCAGCGCCCACACGCGCGCTGTCAGGGAGCGCATGGAGAAACAGTGTGCACAAGTGAAGAGGCTGGAGAACAACCACGCCCAGCTCCTCCGACGCAATCATTTCAAAGTGCTCATCTTCCAGGTCAGTGTCCCTACTGCCTACCTACAGACCAGCCGGGACCCCTCCACAGGCATGATCTCAGTCACCCTGGGTCTCAGGTCATCCTCACATCTATGCTGTCAGGGATCATGCACACACAAGGCATTATCTCATGCCTCCCTGTGGCAGGCAAAAGTGAAATGTGCGCCCAGGGGTGGAAATTTCCCAGGTCCTTCATCCTAAACCCAAAGCAGATGCCCACAGGTTTAGCAGGCTGGGGACATCAGGGACAGGTTGAGAAGCTGCTGCAAAGGTGTATGCACCCACCATAGTCAAATTCATTTGTCTCTTTGCATTAGGAACTTGAGGCTGTGGCTGCAGCTGTTAGCTGACAGGGTAAATTAATTCAGTGGCTATTTATTAACTCTTGGTGGAAACAAGGTAACTATATGAGGGATTTGGTTTCTTTTGCTTTAACCAAGAAGCAACACACATAACCATTAATCTATCCATTTTCCTAAAGGCTGCCAGTGTTTTTGGAAACCAACCAAACGGAGAGTTGAACTGGCCTGTTAAGATATTTTTGTCAAAGCAATCTTGAGTTCTTTTCAAGCAAATGATGTGGTAAAAGAGCAGAGTATAACTACAAACATACTGCTGGTTAAAAGGAGTGTTATCAGTGATGGTCACAAAGACTAGTCTTGAATATTTTCTCCTTCGAATGGTTGCCTTAGAATAAAAGGGCCACTTAATTTTTTTTAATACATCAATGATGCAATTACTGTAGCAAAGGCTATTTGGGGACAGGGAGATTGTGAGGGGCTGTTGTTTGGCCAAGTGGTGGGCATTTGTGAATCCAAGAGCCACCCTGCCTAATTCTGGAAGTCCTTCCATGGTTGGCACTGGGCCAGCCCAGCCCCCAGGAAGTATTGCCATCCGGCCTCAAGGCTGTCTCCTTGTGACCATGTGAATAGGAATGGATTTCAAAGTCATGGAGGGGAGAGACTATGACCAACAGTTGGATTGTGAAAGGCTTACAGGGAAAGCCTTCATCTCCCAAGAGAGATTTAGAAACTGGGAATTAAACTGAGGGAGCCTTTTTTTCCTAATGAATCTACTCTGCCAAGTCAGAACATGTCTGCCCATCCCCATAAAAGGAGAGATTCTTTGCTTTTTTTTTTTTGGTTCTCCCCAAATTGCACTTGAGTATTATGAAGGTTTGAGCAGCTGATACCTCCTGTACCTTGCAGGTTTTTGCATTCAGGAAACTTTTTGACTTTTAATGCAAATGCAATAGTTTTCCATGAACCAGGTAAACTGCAAAGAGATATGGTCAGCCATCTGAGATTCTTTATTACCCTTCGAGATGTCAGGGACCTCAGCTCTTAAGGCATTTCTAAATTAAATAATGATCTCCAAACAAAGCCAAACATGTATAGACCTGTTTAAATCCGAGTTGCCAAAGGGAACTTCCCCCTGGTATAAATCAGAGACTATCTCTTAGATTATCCTTAAGGGCAATCCTTAGGGAGAAGAAGAAAGTATTTATCTGGTAAAGGAAAATCAGAAATTTTAGGGTTTTGTTTTATCTATAATGTTCCACAGGTATTAGGGGAAGGGGTGAGGGGAATAAGTAACTATAAATTCAAGAGAACTGTGAATCTGACAATTTAAAAAATTGTTGGGGAATCTAAAGGCACATGCTGTTGATGAGGGCCTGGCATGGTCACCTGTTTTGTCACATTGGATTGACAGGTGTGAAATTGCAGCCAGTAATGGTAAGAATTCTCCACATAGTGAGAAAAAGCTAAAAGAGGGGTGTTCAATACCAGAGTGGAAGCTAAGGGAATCTCAGGCAAGTGTCCAGAATCCATTCTGGTCCCTCAGCAAGCACCCCCAGACACGTGTAGAGAGCAGTTTAGACGGCAGGGAACTTCAAGCAAGTGACTAAATCTTGATCTTTCTTTACCCATAGGAGTCCCTATTAACTAAAGAGAATTAAAATTCCAACTCTGAAGGTACCGTATAATGGTTATTTGACAAACAAAATGTAAATGCAGTTGTCATTGAAAATGTTGCTCTGTTTCTCATTCTTTCTTAAAGCAGGAATTTCAATAGGGTGACAATTATGCTAAGGGCTAAAACAATAACTTAAAGAGACAGTGGCTCAGATCTGAATTTGATGACTTGCCAACTATATTGCTCTTGAACACATCTCCAAATCTGTTTACCTTTATATACACTAAAGACCTTAATAAGATTTTTTAAAAGCATTTAAGCTCTCAATGAGTGCAGTAGACACTGCTAAGAATTGTTCTGTCCACTTTCTAGTTATTCCCCGGTTTACAGATGAAGATGCTGTGATTCAGGTGTGCTGTGTTTTGTCTGAAGTTGTTTTTTGCACAAGTGGCAAAGCTGAAAATCAAATCCATGATTAATTGGTCCCAGAATATGCTCTCTCAAACACTAATGCTTCCTGGCTCATATCTAGCTCACAATGAGGAGTAAAGGAAATAACATATTTAAAATGACTCACACAGACTGGCATGGTAGAAGTTCTCACTGAGTGGATGCTGTGATGGAGTGAAGCTGAGGCACAGTGCTGAGACAGAATGCTATACTTTGACTTGGTTAGAAAAGTGGCTCTTGAGCCAAAAGTGACCCCATCCTTCTGATGATCTTGAAATAGCTTTGCTTATGCCTTTTTAGTTGAGATTTACTAACACAAACACTCACCTGCACATATATTATATACCTACCATCATGTCAAAATCAGCATTGAAAGCAAAGGACTCTGCCTAAAAGACCTCTTCTAAATAGAGCCTTCTGGTAGCAACATACACTTCACAATGTGGCAGAAGGAGCCTGTCTTAGACCTACAGGGAATGTGGAGGTCAAATAGTGGACCAGATGACACTTTGTGTCTTAAATATTTTGTCATTTTCAGTACACTTGAAGGCCATGATAGAATTCCCCTTACTAAACCATTAATTTTCTGGTTTAAGGCAAAAGTTGTTTGAAAATAAGAGGAGAGTTGGAAAAGAAAATCTGTCCCTTAACTTGAGCATGTTTGGCATTGTAACACTGAGAAGATTTATGTCTATAGTTTGTGAAATCCTGTCATGTGAACCCAAATATAACTCTGAGTGTCTGTATGTATATGTAGGTGTGTGTGTGTGTGTGTGTGTGTGTATGTGTGGGTATGTTTGTATATGTGACTGGGTGTGTGAATTCATGTGTGTGCATATATATGTGCTATATGTGTATGAGTGAGGCAGCTTGTGTGTGTGTGTGTGTGTGTGTGTGTGTGTTGATCAATTTATAATATACTCATACACTTGGACTTTCCATTCCTTTGTTTTTAATCTACTCAACTTAAAACAGGTCATTTATTTCTTAAAATCTTTGTTGAACTTTACATTGTTATAGCTGTTAAATACCTAATTCCTTAGTCATTAATTCATACTATAACCATTACTATCTAAAGACTGGAGAAATACTCAGCCTTCATGAACACTAAGATGAACTAGGAAATCCTGGTTAAATTCAACAATTTTTCTTAAGTTTTCTGCAACAGTTTAATATAATATTTGAATTTAAAATACCAAAACAAGATCCAACACAAATAAAATAAGGCTTTTAGATGCTGTTGATCAAAAATGTAATCCCAGCATTCAGGAGGCAGAGGCAGGTGGAACTCTGTAAGATCAGGCCAGCTGATCTATACAGCTAATTCCAAGGTCAGCTAGGGCTACAGGGATACTCTATCTCAAAAAAAAAAAAAAAAAAAAAAAAAACAACAAAAGTCTAATACTAAAGGAACCCAACATTAATACTCTGCCCGTAAGCATGGCTATCCTTTACTAAAAATAGAATTTGTAACCGCATTAAAAGGAACTTTTCTCTGCGGTCTGAGAGGCTAGAACTTCACAGTTACTGACCCTGAGGGTGTGGTGTCCACTTAAGTCCTCTTAAGGCTCTAGTAATGATTATTTGAAAAAGCAGTCTGGGAATAATTTCAAGTGCAGAGAACAAAATGAGAGTACTCATGGACAGCTTACACTTTCATCCACATAAAATTGTGAAATTGAGTGAAAAAACTAAAAGATTAGCTATTTGCCATGGATATATTTCTGGAGAAACTGAGTCTATAAATGTGCTTAAATATCCATTGTTTGGGTTCTTTCCATGAGATAAGAGTTTTAGAAACACATTAAAAGTATAATATCTTAAGACAATTTTAAAATTGATTGTTTTAAAGACAATATGTTATCTGAAGCCATTGCTCTAAAAGCTGTTAAAATTAGTACAGACTTGGAAGAGATGAGGATATGAATAATCAAAGATGTCTTTCTATGACAACTCTGCATGTTTATATCACATTAACGTTCCCTTAATGGGAGATTGGTTTAGTTGTATTACTCATCTAGTGTCCTTTTAGTTTATGAGGTAAACAAAATACTAGCTCTTATTGTTACGGTTTATACTTAGGAAGTCAGCACTGCCCCGGGCACTGTAAACAATTTTTGTTGAGATCTGTTTGAAATAAAAAAGTCATTACATTCTTTTATATAGAAAAAATAGACTCTATGTCATATGCAGGCCTTCAAAGCCTTTCTATTTTTTTAATGCTATTATCTGTTTGAATTGAATAAATAAAAAGTTCTTCGTTGTAACCATAGTCTTATAGTGCTGATTCTTATGTGGCACTAAATACATTTGATGTAAATGGGTATACCATTCTATTATTCCTATGAATGGTTAATTCTTTTTGTGGGGTATAGGTTTATATCATATAATCAAATATGTTCAATCTAGAAGATCCCTTAATAATCATTTAACTTTATTTTATATGAAAGAAGCAGAGGTCCTGAGAAAGAAAATGACTGACAAGGTTTCACTTTATTAATAATAGAAATTACAGAATGGAAATATAAAATGGGTAGACACAAATACTATAATCCCATTGTGGTAAAGTTCATGTTTACTAGGTTTTATATACCACCTTTTAAATAATTTAGTGTGATTTTTTTAATGTGTAA